AGGAGGAGGAGGAGGAGGAAGAGGAGGAGAAGGAGGAGGAGGACGAGGAGGAGGAGGAGGTGGAGGAGGAGGAGGAGGAGGAAGAGGAGGAGGAAGAGGAGGAGGAAGAGGAGGAGTAGGGAAGAGGGTCAACCAAGGAGGAAATACAAATATTCACTCCGGAGTAAATCCTTCAGGAGGTTGGAACTCATTCCCGCTTCGGAATGACGTTGCTCTGGAGTCCGCCACCGCACTTTCAGCACGTAGTGGAGTGCTCCAGGACTCATGCAGCACTGATTCCTGGGGATTCCCGAGGATTGGATTGCCGGGGATTGCTGGGGATTCCCCAGGATCTCCCGGGTAACGTAGCCTGTTCAAGAAGGCCCCAAGACTATCCGAGAGGGCCCCGCATCGCCGCACGATCGGTCCAAGGCGCCCTGGATGGTCTCCAGTCGGCCGAAATAGCGCCCAAGACGTCCCAAGAGGCCACCAAGAAGAGCCGTCTTACGGTAAGGGGACAAAAAAATGGAACCCCTTCGTCTTCGGCCTCGCATTCGTTCCCCCCCCCCCCAATTTCAAAGTTGGGTTCGGCCTCTCGGAGGCCCTGGGGGTTCCACTTTTTTTGTCCTCTCACGCCTGTGATGCCAAATGCTTGAGGCCAGCTTTGAAATTGATGGGAGGGGGGGGCGTGGTGTCAAGGGTTCCACTTTTTTGTCCATCTACGGCAGGAGGGCTCCGAGAGGCCAAAATCATGGTTTTCCCTTGGAAGTTTTAAACTGTTTCTCGGGCCCTCGTCTTTTCGAGCTTCCAGCGCTCCGTGACAGCCCAAGAGGCCTCCAAGACTGCCCCAAGGCGGCTCAAGAGGCCCCCAAGAGGGCCCCCAGACGGCGCAAGAGGGCTCCAAGACAGCCCCAGAGTCGCCCAGGACCGCCCAAGAGAGCCGAAAACCAGCCTCAAGAAGGGCCGAAGAAAGGAAACACGAACAGAAAATCCGAGCCTTCCGCCACAAGAGGCCTCCGAGGCCTCAAGGAGGCGCTAAGAAGCCCCCAGGAGGCCCGAAGACACCCCAAGAGGCCCTCAAGACGCCCCAAGAGGCCCTAAATCGGCTCTCAAGAGGCCTCCAAACGGCCCCCAAAATGCCCCCGAAAGACCCCCCAGCGACATCCCAACGAACATTCTAAAGGCATATGACCCACCACCCAGGCACAGTGGCGGGATGGGCCACAGGCCATTCGATTAATCCACAAGAAGGTTGGAACAAGCTCTAGGACGCGAAGATTCACTCCCGAGTAGATCTGTTTCGCGCTGGAAGTGGCGCCAACAGTCTCAAATATTTACTCTGGAATGAACTCTCGGGTGCCAAGGGGGCCAGCACTGCTCGTGAATTTACTCCGGAGCACTTACATTCGCAGGGCCAAAGAGGGTCCCAACTCCAACCTCCTGAAGGACTTACTCCGGAATCGCATTCTTTATTTCCTCCTGGTTTCACCCTCTTCCGCCCGGGAAGAGGCCCCGCGGGCGACTCACTCGAAGGATTCGAAAAACTCGTTGTTGCGCTTTTCCGCCCTAGCGCGCCGCGGAATGAACATACTCCGGAATTAATGTACGGGCACGGCTGCTTCGCGCCGTGGAGCCCGCGAGTGTGCTGATTCAGGCCCAGGTAGAAATAGTGCGTGGCGACATGGGGCCTGCGTCAAAAGTCAGCGCGACCACCCAGCACGACACCCAGCACGACCACCCAACACGACCACCGGCACGACCACCTAGCACGACCACCCAGCAGGACCACCCAGCCCGGCATGACCGACCAGCACGACCAACCAGCATGACTACCCAGCAGGACCCCCAGCAGGACCACCAGCACGACCACCCAGCACGACTTCAACAAAAAATGAACGAACGCTCACAAGGGGGCCGCGGGCCGAAGCCTGCAAATCCTCGGTTCCCGTCGCCCTGTCCCGCAAGCTGTTTCGGCCCACGGGCTCCACGAGCGTACGTTAGACCACATTTTTCCTGTGGGTTCGGGCCCCGCCAGGAAACGACTCACTCGAAGGATTGCGCCTGTCGGCGTCCGGGGGCGCCCCCGCCGCAAAATATGGCAGGAACGACGCGAAACCTGGTGCTCGATCCCCACCGCCTTTTTCCGTGAGCAGTTTCGCCCCGGGGACCCCGAGATCACGCATTAAACCGTGGACGCAGGCCCCGCGGGTAAACGACTCATTCGAAGAATTCAGAGGACTCGTTGCTGGCGCTTTTCCGCCCTAGGGCCCGCCGCGGGATGAGTTTACTCTGGAATGAACCTACGGGCATGGCTGGCTCGCGCCCTGGGGCCCGCGAATGTGCTGATCCAGGCCCAGGTGGAGAGTAGGGCGGGCCGACATGGTAACCGCGAGTTTACTGTGGAGTAAATTCACTGTCGAAGCTGTCTGGAGAAGCTCTGTGGCGCGGCGCGGATTTACTGCCGGATGTACTGCCAAACGAACCACGGATTAACTCTAGAGAATATTGGAAGAGGAAGCCGGTCAAAGGCTCCTCAGTGGAGTGATCTTGCTCCAGAGTGAAGCAGTGGTAGGGAGACAGCAGATCCACTACAAAACAATTATTCACTTCGTGGAGCTCCCCATATGTGCATATTTTTGCATGGACCTTTCCGCTGTGAGTGTCAGGCGCAGGAAACTTCGAATATAGACGGGTTTGAGTATTGATAGACTGGGAGTGAGTCTCAGTAGTGCGAGTGAGTCTGTGCGCATGAGTCTGGCCCCCTGGGGCCTCCTGCAACCTTCTGGGGCTTCCTGGTGCCTCCTGGGGCCTCGTGTGGCCTCCTGGGGCCTCCTGGAGACTCTTGGAGCCTCCTGGGGCCCTCTGGGGAGGGTTCGTGCCCCAGAAGAAGCCCAATCTATAGGAACAGACGTGTATGAAACACTGCGGACTGGAGCCACAGGAATAAGGCAATCTATAGGAACACACGTATCTAAATCACCAAGGACTCGCACCCCAGGGGAGGCCCAATCTATAGGAACATCGGTAAAGCATATAGTATTGAATACACCTGAGAAGGACAATCCATAGAAACACGTGTAAAACACGAAGGATACGTGCTCCAACACAATCTATAGGAGCATACGTGCAACACATGGGATTGGAACCACTCCTGCAGCCTTCTGAGGCCTCCTGCTCCTGGGGCCTCTTGGGGCCTCCTGGTGCCTTCCGGGGCCTCCTGGTGCCTCCTGGCGCTTCCAGTGGCCTCCTGGGGCCTTTGTGGTTTCGTATGGCATCCTGGAGCATCCTGGAGCCTCCTGAGGCCTTCTGGAGCTTCCCTGGGGCCTCCTGGAATCTCTTGGGGCATCCTGTGGCCTCTTGAGTCTTCCTGTGGCCTCCTGGTGCCTCCTGTGATCTCCTGTTGCCTCCTGGGGTCTCCTGGAGCCTGCTGGAGCCTCCTGTGGCATACTGGGGAGGATCCGTGCCCACGAGTCAGGCCACCCAAACATGCAAATCGATCGAAGCATCCTCAAACTCTGGCCCCACTGGGGTGCGAAACTAAACGCCTCGCTCGAGACATCCTCCAACTCTGCTCTTGAAGCGGAGGATGTTGAGCTGGTAAACAAGCTAATTGCTCGAGACATCCCGGCCACGTTAGCGCGAACGGAGGCCGTGAGATACCCCTGGCGCCCCCCCTTAGAACAGACAAACCGATCGAGACATCCTCAACATCTGGTCCCGCTCGAGGGCGAACATGAACGCCTCGCCCGAGACATCCTCCAAATCTGCTCCGAAAGCGGAGGATGATGAGCTGGTAGAGAAGCAAACCGCTCGAGACATCCCCGCCATTTTGGCGCGAACGGAGGCCGTGATATAATCCTGGCGGCCCCCCCTTGGGAGTGCGAAAACCAGCAAACCGCCTGACATATCCTCAGGATCTGCTCTGAGCGGAGACGAGTCTGGCCACCAAAACAGACAAACAGCTCGAGATCATCATCATCACCACCACCACCACCACCATCATCATCATCATCATCATCATCAGCATCATCATCATCATCATAATTATCATCATCATCATCATCATCACCATGAGCATCATCATCATCATCATCATCATCGTCATCATCG